TAGAATAACCCTTAGTTATGAGGCCTTATAAGGGGTACCAAAAATATCCATTAAGTAAGTAAGTAAGTAAGTAAATTTTATTATAGTGACATTGTGTTATGTACAATATAATAAACATACATATATTACAACCCCCGGCCACGTTGGTCACTTTAAACTATATACAATTTATAAATTTAGTCACTTTAAACTATATACAATTCATATAAATGATTTACAATAAAACATGTAAAGCATAGCAAAATTAATCGGAAATACAGTGGTCAATTATCAAAATTCCATATATGACAATTGTATAAACAAGCAAAGCATATCAAATTTCAAAAGCTATAAATTCTAAACAATGTTAAGATGTTGTTATATTTCTTGTTATTTTCAAATATGTCTGGGGATTTTTACATGATTCAATACACTCAAATAAATTTTTATTATGCAAAACATCAGGTCATTTATAAAGATATAACCTTCTTCTTTTCATACTTTCTACAATAAACTTTGCAGCGCTAACATATTGATTTTGTATCACAAAACTTAGTTTTTGAATATCAGACATATTGTCAAAGTCACTGCTAATCTCTTTACATTTAGAAATCAAATTAACACGTAAATCGTTGTACCTAGAGCATTTCAATACAAAGTGAGTTTCATCCTCAACAACTTTGTTAGTACAAAGAGTGCATATTCTTTCATCAACACGTAATCCCACGTATCGTCCTGTTTCTAGTTTGAGCGGAAGAATACCGCATCTTAATTGAGCTAAATGGGACCTTTCTGCTTTAGTTAAGGAAGACATGAGATATTTTTCTGTTTCATAGTCTTGTTTGAATGTAATATATGTTCTCAGTTTTGCCACATTTGTGTGAAGAGATGTTAGTTCCCGTACATAAAATATAACCCAATATAATATTGTTATACAAGACCTATTTTTCATTTAAAATTGTTGAAGAGACAAATTTCCCAGAGGTAAATAGGTGTCATTGAGAATATAGAGCGTAGACTAAACTCTAGTATCTATTACCTTGTACCGATGACCCAGGGCCTTCACATCACCTGCTTAAATGCATGATATTTTACTTATTAAAGCCATAAAATTAAGTAATATAGTAATGTAGATGAAAATTTTGATACCGTATAAGTGGTTTTTTCTGCGGGCTCCAAATTCTGCGGTTTTTCCAAATTTTGGCATGTTTTTATTTCTGCGGACTTTATTTCTGCGGTACATTCTTTGGACAAAACGTGATTTAAATTCTGCGATTCGTCTTATAAAAGTATAAGTCATATTACCCTATCTATTATATTTGCATGTACACGTTCGCATTTGCGTCACCGTAAAACTATATAGCAATTACAAAGAATTATATTGTTTGCTTGCAAATAAATACTTTTTTATTAAATTAGCATAATTAACAAAAAGTACATCCTTTCAAACACAGATTACATATTTAGCCGACAGCAATTTTATAAAACTTGAAAACCCGCTAACCGTTATAATCTGTTGGTCGTTATTACTTTAGACGAAACAGGTCACAATGTAGGATTCATATCGTAGCAAGTAAGAGAAATATTCTGCGGTTTTTATTTCTGCGGTGCCGAAACTGACCGCAGAAAACGCAGAAATAAAGTCACCGCAGAAAAAACCACTTATACGGTAATTAAAAGGTTTTCATCACATTACCCACTTATCTGTACACAGCTGGTATTAGTGGAAATCCTTTAAATGGGCCTCCTTTGTAAGTATTTTGTGCATGAGCGTGCAAGGATGGAATCCCCCAATGTTTACAATGTCACATTTTGACAACACACAGGTGAAAGTGATTTAAAATAAAAAATTTCTATACGTTCTGCCAAGCCGACACTTAGATTTTGTCTCGTTCATACATAAGCTTGATTTGATATCAATTTTTAAAGAATGCAAGTAAAATTCAAGCATTAAAATGAAAAATACGGGTACTGCTTCTGTATGGGAACTGCTTGCATGCCAGTATACTACTATTATACTATATTTAAATGAAAACATAAGTATAATAAATTAAGTTTGTTGTTTGTAAGAATATGTATCTAATTGGATACAATAAGCATTTCAGATCTGTAGAACTATGAAGGAAACAAATAAATGTTCATCTATTTATAAAAGAATTGTATGTAAAAAATCAAAAGGCCATAATTCCACCATAAAAATATTAATTGAAAATGCTCATATGTGCACTATGGCATTTGATGACAAAGCTTCTATGAAACATTTAAGTTGAAAAACCAGGTTTAGTGGCAATATTGCACTGATTCTTGTATGTTTATTTTTGTCATTTTGATGTAAGTCCTTGATAAGACAGACACAAGATACTGAGATTTTGTGTTGATCTGTCGAAATCCATGGCTTGTAGACACTTCTTTTTAACTTTCAGGAAGTCTGCATCATCTCTGAAAATAATTATCTTTTCTTTCTTACATGCTTTACAGTGGACAGTGAAATTATCAAAATGACAGTGAAATTTTATCTTGATAATTTTACAGTGAAATTGTAAACTGTTAATTATCCCCCGCCGATGGAATCGGGAGGGGGATATTGTTTTGGCGTTGTCCATCCGTCCGTCCGTCCTTCCGCACAAACATTTTAGGTATATGAGCTAACTAACGGTACACTGGGACAAAAGAGAACAAAGGACTTCATTCCATAAATAATAGTTAGCTCATAAGGAAACAATAGTTAGCCCACAAGGAAACAAAAGAAAAGAACAATAGAAATAGCTCATAAACCTGAAAAATTGGTACATCCGTCCGTCCGTTCATCCATCCGTCCATCCGAATTTCGTTTCCGGAGTAGTTCTCTGCAACTACTGGCTGGAATTCAACGAAACTTTATGGGAATCATCAATATCAGGAGGAGATGGGCATATCGTCGGCTTGTTCTGGTCCGACACTTTAACTCAGAGTTATGGCCCTTGATTAGTTATGCACTATGCATATAGAGTAAAAATCGTTTCCGCGCTACTTCTCTGCAACTACTGGCTGGAATTCAACGAAACTTTATGGGAACCTTCAATACCAAGAGGAGATGCACATCTCGTTGCCTTGTTCTGGTCAGACACTTTAACTCAGAGTTATGGCCCTTGATTAGTTATGCAGTATGCAAATAGAGCAAAAATTGTTTCCGCGCTACTTATCTGCAACTACTGGTTGGAATTCAACAAAACTTTATGGGAACCTTCAATACCAAGAGAAGATGCACATGTCATTGCCTTGTTGGGGTCAGACATTTTAACTTAGAGTGGCCCTTGATTAGTTATGCAGTATGTATATATAAAAATATTTGTTTCTGCGCTACTTCTCTGCAACTACTGGCCGGAATTCAATGAAACTTTATGGGTACCTTCAATACCAAGAGGAGATGCGCATATTGTCGCCTTGTTCGGGTCAGACATTTTAACTTAGAGTTATGGCCCTTGATAACTTATGCAGTATACAACCAGAGCAATAATCGTGTCCGTGCTACTTCTCTGAAACTACTGGCTGGAATTCAATGAAACTTTATGGGATACGAAGAGGAGATGTGCATATAGTCGCCTTGTTCCGGTCAGACAATTATAACTTAGATTTATGGCCCTTGATTAGTTATGCAGTATGCATACATCTCATTGGCATTTCCAAATATCACTATTTAACACAGAGTTGTGGCTCTTTTATTGCCCTTAATATTTATCAAGTCCAAAGTATATTACTGTTTATGCCACGATTAATATATAAATAAAGCCTTATGTCTTCAGTTGTTGTGTTAGTAATAACCAGTACTCGGCGGGGGATATAAATTCAACCAATTTGCTTGTTTGAACTATATCGGTTTACAATGGAAATTAATACATCTTAAATAAGTAGAAATATTGTCAGGAAAACATTCCATCATGAGTAAAATGTGCTTGATAATGAGAAGCACATGCATATCATTTTAAAAATGTTTCAAAATGCAAACATTTTAGAGAATTATTCTTTGTTATGATTTGATGACGTCAGGAATCAGAGCACATGTTGTTACTCGGCAAAGTTTAAAACCCCTAAATCACTTGTCTTTATGATCATACCTATTCCCCTTGGTCAAACATGTGATGTGTCTTCAATGGAGTATTTTGTATTTCGTAGTTCACTATTTCACAATCTGCTCAAGGTGCCCTATTTTTGGCATAAGTCTCATTACATTACCAAATATAAATAGGGGGTCATCTGACTGTAAATTTAATAAAGAGAGTTTGTTCTTTAATAATAGAAGAAATGGCAAAAGAAAACACCAAAAGTAATGGTCTCTTATTCCATTTCGGTTACACTGATCTTAGGGGATAGATATTATGGGATTAGGATTTGTGTACAACTTAACATAACGAGATTAAGACATTGGATAAATGACTTTAAAAGTAATATATAATATAAGCATAATTTTCCAGATTTGTTAATTTAATTAGCATTAACATAACTTTATCCAAAAAAAGTATGCATTAAATTATCATTCTTTCTAAATTTCATTAATACTGTCAATAAGTACTAAAGTGAAAATGTTAATATCTCCACATAAATTCGTAAGTCATGTCCCTGTGGTCAAATATGGCCCTGCCCTATGAGTCACTAAGTTTACAAAGATTTGTATAAAGAAAATGCCTTTAAAATCTTCTCTAAAAGTACAGTGCCCAGAGCCTGTAGAGACACCTCATCATGGCTCTATTGTTGTGAATTATGTGCAGTCATCTGATTCATTAGTCTACATTAGCTAAGTTTAGGTTTCAGTTTCATAACTTCTGAGATTAATAAAGTTACTGTAATTTTGATATTTTTGTGTACATTTGCTTCAGATATATCAATGCATGCATAGCTGTTGGCTGCTTGTAACAATAAAGTTTTTATGCTAAGCTTAAAATTAGATACATTTATGATAGACATTTGTTTACAACATGACAGTTTTTTAGTCATTTTAAATGGTGTATCCTTAAAATTAATTTCATACATGTTTCAAATTGCAGTTACATGCATTGCATTGGCAACAGAAACAAGAGCAGCAAAGGCAACAACAACAGATGCAACATCAGCAGCAGCTGCAGCAACAGTCTCAGTCAGTACAGAAACAGTCACAAGCTGTCCAGGAACATATTAATCAGATTCATCAGAAAATGCAGCAGCAACAGCAAGAACAACAACAGCAACAATTGCAGCAGTTGCAGCAACATCAAATTCAAACACAGAGACTGCAGCAGCAACAACCAAAACAACAGCAGCAACATACACAATTGGATTTAATTCAGCTGGCTCAAGCAAGTGTGGATCAACATCAAATAGAAGTCATAAGGGTAATTTTTTATTTTTTAGCTCAACTTTTTTTCAAAGAAAAAAGAAGAGGTTTTGTCAGGTTTTGACAGTAGCTGGTTTTGCCAGGATTTCAGTGGAATCTTGACATCCTGAATGTCAGGGATTTGTCAAATCAAAAAAGTAAAATCTGAAAGTGAAGATTAACAATATGATTTCATATTCTTTTTAACTCAACTTTCTTCTTTTTTAGCTCACCTGTCACAAAGTGACAGGGTGAGCTTTTGTGATCGCTTTTCGTCCGGCGTCCGGCGTCCGGCCGTTGTCCGTAAACTTTTACTTTAAATGACATCTCCTCATAAACCACTAAGCCAATTTCATCCAAACTTCACAGAAATGTTTCTTTGGTGGTCACCTTTGAAAATTGTTCAAAGAATTTAATTCCATGCAGAACTCTGGTTGCCATGGCAACCAAAAGAAAAAACTTTAAATATCTTCTTCTATAAAACCCAAAGAGCTAGAGCTTAGATATTTGGCATGAAACATCTTCTAGTGAGTGTCTACTAAGTTTGTTCAAATAAAAGCCCTGGGGTCAAAATTGGCCCCGCCCCAGGGGGTCATTGATTTTCCCTATATGCATATAGTAAAAACTTAAAAAATCTTCTTTTAAAGAACCCAAAGAGCTAGAGCTAAGATATTTAGCATGAAACATCTTCTAATGGGTGTGTACCAAGTTTGTTCAAATAAAAGCCCTGGGGTCAAAGTTGGCCCCGCCCCAGGGGGTCATTGATTTTCCCTATATGCATATAGTAAAAACTTAAAAAATCTTCTTTTAAAGAACCCAAAGAGCTAGAGCTAAGATATTTAGCATGAAACATATTCCAATGGATGTCTACCAAGTTTTTTCACTACCAAGTTTGTTCAAATAAGAGCCCTGGGGTCAAAATTGGCCCTGCCCCGGGGGTCATTGATTTTCCTTATATGTGTATAACAAAAACTTAAAAAATCTTCTTTGAAAAAAACCAAATAGCTAAAGTTTAGATACTAAGCATGAAGCATCTTCTAGTGAGTGTCTACAAAGTTTGTTCAAATAAAAGCCCTGGGGTCAAAATTGGCCCCGCCCCGGGGGTCATTCATTTTCCTTATATGTGTATAACAAAAACTTAAAAAATCTTTTTTGAAAAAACTCAAATAGCTAGAGTTTAGATATTAAGCACGAAGCATCTTCTAGTGAGTGTCTACAAAGTTTGTTCAAATAAAAGCCCTGGGGTCAAAATTGGCCCGCCCCGGGTGACATTGATTTTCCTTATATGTGTATAGCAAAAACTTAAAAATCTTCTTTGAAAAAACCCAAATAGCTAGAGATTAGATATTAAGCATGAAACATTTTCTAGTAAGTGTCTACAAAGATTGTTCAAATAAAGCCCTGGGGTCAAAACTGGCCCTGCCCCAGGTGTGTCATTGTTTTTTACTATATGTGTAAAGAAAAAACATGACCAGCTAGACCTTAGATGTTTAGCATGAAATATCTTCTAATGGGTGTCTACCAAGTTTGTTCAAATAAAAGCCCTGGAGTTTAAACTGGCCCCGCTCTGGGGGCCTATATACAGGTGAGCGACTTCAGGGCCATCATGGCCCTCTTGTTTGTTAAATAAAGGTATTGTTACAGTCACTTAAGTGTTGCCAATGCTGCCTTGATCATAACTTTTTATCACGAAAAGGCGGCGGGGGATATAGAAATAGTCTCCGTCCGTCCGTCCAACATTTTTGTCCGGAGCATATCTCTAAAAGTATTTGAGTTATAAACTTGAAACTTCATAGGTGGATAGACCTCATTGAGGAGGAGTGCAGTGCACAAGAATGATAACTCTACCTTTCATAATTTTTGAGTTATTGCCCTTTGTTATTTTTCAAAATTGATTTTTGTCCAGAGCATAACTCCAAAAGCCTATGAGATATCAACATGAAACTTCATAGGTGCATATATCTCACTCAGGAGGTGTGCAGTGCACAAGAATGATAACTACCTTTCATAATTCTTGAGTTATTGCCCTTTGTTATTTTTCATACTTAATTATGTCTCCCCCACCTCGGGGGGAGACATATTGTTTTTGCCCTGTCCGTCCGTCCGTCAGTCCGTCCGTCCGTCCGTCCGTCCGTCCGTCCATTCTTCGTTTCCGGACGATAACTAGAGTTCCTTTTGACCTACAGCTCTCAAACTTCATAGGATGAATGGTCTTATTGAGCAGATGATCCCTATTGTTTTTGGGGTCAGTAGTTCAAAGGTCAAGGTCACAGTGACCGTTGGTCAATTTCTCGTTTCCGGATGATAACTAGAGTTCCTTTTGACCTACAGCCCTCAAACTTCATAGGATGATTGGTCTTATAGAGCTGATGATCCCTATTGTTTTTGGGGTCAGTAGGTCAAAGGTCAAGGTCACACTGACCGTTGGTCAATTTCTCGTTTCCGGATGATAACTAGAGTTCCTTTAGACCTACAGACCTCAAACTTCATAGGATGATTGGTCTTATTGAGCAGATGATCCCTATTGTTTTTGGGGTCAGTAGTTCAAAGGTCAAGGTCACAGTGACCGTTGGTCAATTTCTCGTTTCCAGATGATAACTAGAGTTCCTTTTGACCTACAGCCCTCAAACTTCATAGGATGATTGGTCTTATAGAGCAGATGATCCCTATTGTTTTTGGGGTCAGTAGGTCAAAGGTCAAGGTCACAGTGACCGTTGGTCAATTTCTCATTTCCGGATGATAACTAGAGTTCCTTTTGACCTACAACCCTCAAAACTTCATAGGATGATTGGTCTTATTAATCAACCTTGTATATAAACCTCCGTCATTGCCGATTAACTTGTTCCTTCAAAAGCTTACCCTTGTCTTGGAAAATTCACCAACAGAAAACTGCATAGTTCTAGGAGACTTCAACATTGACCTCATTCAATATTTAGAACATCCATTGACCCACACTATGTTACGACATCGCTTTAAACAAATAATAAACAAGGCTACTACAGCACACAACACACTTATTGACCATATCTACCAGAGAGGCTTGATTGTGAAAACGAGTGGAGTCATCCCAACACACTACAGTTATCATGATTTGACATACATTGAAATTTGAGTTGTCTTTCAATAGTGTAAAAAATCTGACAATATGAACGTTTGTTTCAAAGTATCATCAAAATCCTTCAAAGGGTTGAAGAGTTATGGAGCAGACACAATTTCCTTTAATTTCGTTTGTGAAACTATATATGATATGACATTCAAGTGTCAAGTAGACCTTGACCTTGGAACCAGCCATACGAAACATGTACTCTACACGTTCTCTGGATGTGGTGAATTTTTGTTTCAAGTATCTACCAGAGAGGCTTCATTGTGAAAACGAGTGGAGTCATCCCAACACACTACAGTTATCATGATTTTACATTACATTGTAATTTGAGTTTGTCTTTCAATAGTGTAAAAAAATCTGACAATATGAACGTTTGTTTCAAGTATCATCAAAATCCTTTAAAGGTTTGAAGAATTATGGAGCAGACACAATTTCATTTAATTTCATTTGTTAAACTATATATGATATGACCATCAAGTGCAATTTCGTTTGACGCCCGCCTGCCATACGCTGATTGAATAACCAGGATTTTCAAAATTGAATACCTGGTTAAAAACAAACAGTTTAGGAAGCATCTTCTCATACAACCTTAACAATAGAAACCATCCATAGACAGCCTTCATTGAAGTGACTACCGGGTATTTACATTATCTTATCTCCATTTCCATTCCTGTTTCCATTCACAGTTATTATCAGCAGTGGGGGAGACATGCGCTTTTTTACAAAAGCATCCTCTAGTTTTTCACCTGAGTGGAGCAAAACTCAAAAAGTTTTTGAGATATCAACATGAAATGTCATATTTGGATAGATCTTATTGATGAGGAATGTTATGCGCAAGAATGATAACTCTTCCCTGTACAATTTTTGAGTTATTGCCCTTTGTTCTTTTTCATGCTATTTTGTCCAAAGCTTATCTCAAAAAGTATTTGAGGTATCAACTTGAAACTTCATAGGTGGATGGATCTCATTGAGAAGGAGTGCATTGCACAAGAATGATAACTCTACCCTGCATTATTTTTGAGTTATTGCCCTTTGTTATTTTTCAAAATTAATTTTTGTCCAGAGCATAACTTAAAAAGCCTATGAGATATCAAAATGAAACTTCATAGGTGCATAGATCTCACTCAGGAGGTGTGCAGTGCACAAGAATGATAACTCTACCTTTCATAATTTTTGAGTTATTGCCCTTTGTTATTTTTCATACCTAATTTTTCACCCGAGTGGAGCATAACTCAAAAGTGTTTGAGATGTCAACATGAAATGTCATAGGTGGATAGATTTTATTGAGGAGGAATGCTGTGCACAAGAACGATAACTCTTCCCTGTACAATTTTTGAGTTATTGCCCTTTGTTCTTTTTCATACTATTTTGTCCGGAGATTATCTCAAAAAGTATTTGAGGTATCAACTTGAAACTTCATAGGTGGATGAATCTCATTGAGGAAGAGTGCAGTGCACAAGAACGATAACTCTACCCTGTATAATTGTTTAGTTATTGCCCTTTTTGTGTCGCCTCTACGGAGTAGTGGCGACATATAGGGATCACTTCTCCGTCGTCTGTCTGTCCGTCTGTCCGTCCGTCCGTCCGTCACAAAACTTGTCCGGACTACTCCTCATAAACTACTGGTGCAATTTCATCCAAACTTTACAGGAATGATCAGTACCAAGTCTAGTTGTGCATATTGTCAGGATTTTCCGGTTCAATGATTTTTGTCAGAGTTATGGCCCTTTAATAATTTTTAATTTTAAAGTTTGTCCGGACTACTTCTCTTATACCACTAATGCAATTTCAATGAAACTTTACAGGATTGATCTGTAGCTCAAGTCCTTGCGCATATTGCACAGGTTTTCCGGTTGAATGATTTTTGGCCGAGTTATGGCCCTTTGATAAAAAGGTTTCTTTTTCTGTGTGTTGCC